TGGCCACAGCCCACGGCCTGGAGCTGGTGCTGCTCAAGCCACGGAGGTTCATGAACCTCAATGGGCTCAGCGTTGCCAGTGCTGGTGAGCAACTGGGTCAGCCCCAGAGCCTCTAGTGGCACCAGCCCCCTGTGACAGCCCTGCTGTCTCCTTGCCTTCCATGGCTCACTACAGCCCCACTCTGCAGAGTCAGGGCCTGGTGAGTCTGTCTCCCCTCATTTCTTAGGTTGTATTTCTGTTTCCAAAGCTGAGATCTACAGCCTTGGCCCCGGAGACATTTACCTGGTTCACGATGACCTGGACAAGGCCCTGGGCAAGGTGGCCATCAAGCTGGGAGGCAGCGCAAGGTATGGGGTAGCCCCAGCTCCCTGATGGTGTGAGCTGGTTTGAGGCTTTAACATGCCCATACACGTTCATGGGCTGTTCTTGGCTCCAGCCTTGCAATGTTTCAGCTCTTGTCCTGGACTCGATCTATTGCAGAGGCAACAGCTGGCTGTTTGGGCAGCCTCCCAGTTCCTGCCCTGGCAGGGAGGGCAGGGAGCCTCCTGGAAGCAGCTATGGGCTGGATTCAGCCCACATGGGTTTTTTATATCACTCTGCCTCCACTGTGCCTGCCCAGCACCAGACATTTAACCTAGGAAAGCTTCCACTGCGGGATGGGGCAGGTACAGTGCTGGGCCCCAGTGCTCAGTCACACATGCACCAGCTGTGGCAAGAGCTGACACACACAGAACAGTGCTGTCCCAGCTCTGCTTCCCTAAATCCCCCAGCCAACTGCTCTGCCCCAGGGCTGGATGTTCCTGCAGAACCAGGACATGGGGACTGCAGCCCTTGGCTGGGACCACGTTCCCACATTCCTGCAGGAGGAGACCAGGGCTATATGGGGAGGGTGTCTCTTACAAACTAAGTGTGGGTTTTCTCTTTCTCTCTCAAGGGGACACAATGGGGTCCAATCCTGCATCAGTGCTCTGCAGTCCAACGTGAGTGGGTGTCAGGTGAAGGGGATCAATCCTGTGCCCTCCTCAATGCATGGCTTGTTCCCCCACCCTCATTTTTCTGATTCCTCTTAGACAAGCCCCTGCTCCCTTCTCCCCCTTTTCTCCTTCCCCGTCATCCTGGAGGGCTGTTGTCTGTTTGGCCGCCATGGAGGACATGGAAACAATTAGCTGGAGTGCCTCTGCCAGGCCTGGCAGGAGCCTGGGATCTCGGCACAGCTCAGCTAAAGCCTCTTCCAAAATTATGTTTCTTGGAGCAAGCACTCAAAACCACCTGGAAAACATGAGGAGCTGTTCCCTTGCTGCCCAGCCCCACTCTCAGCACTGTCACTGTGCCTAACTCTGCCTGCACACTTGAGAGGAAGCTCCCCCAGCTCTCTCCCTTCCTCCCCAGGAGATGACCCGGCTCAGGATTGGCATCGGGCGGCCAGAGGGTGACGTGACAGTGCCCAACTATGTCCTGTCTCCGTTCAGTGCTGGGGAGAGAGAGAAGCTGGAGCAGATCCTGGCCCAGGCAGTGACCTGCCTGCTGGAGCACATCCAGAGCCGAGCACCTGCAGAGCCAGGGGACAGGGGCTGACACAAACCCCCAGGACCCTTTGGCTGATGGACAGGGTGCTGCAGGCACTCCGGACTGACCAGGGAGCTGGAGCAGAGCTGGCCCAGCCTGGCTGGGAGCTGGGGCAGCCTCCTTCCATGCCCACACCAATCCAGGCAGCTCGTGTCCCACTTGAATCCCTGCAGAGGCTCCGTGCCTCAGTTTGGCACAGAAATTAAATAAACCCTCACCCTGACTCTGGCCTGCTCCTGCCTCTCTTCCATGCGCCGCTTGCCAAGCTTGGGTTGTCCTTGGCGCTGCAGCTCAAATCCGTGTTCCCATCCCTGTTTGACCAGCACAGCCTGGAGGGAGGCTTCTAGTGAGAAATGGGGAGCAATAGGAGCTAGCTCTGTTGAGTCCAAAGGCACTTCAGCTTTGCTGAGAAACTGGCAAGCACGGAGAGCCTGGAATCCCATAGCATGCTGCTCTGACTGAGCTGCAGCAGGGCTGGCCTCACAGTGTTTTTGAGTTCAGTGGTTTTGGCTGAAACTGTGGAGTTTCCAACAGCTGCAGGAGTTCTGGCTTCCCACAGGCCCATTGCAGGTCTCGTGGAGAGCACAGACTGAGGCAGTGTGTCCTCACCACTGCTGTGTCCCAGAGTCCTGGGTGTGCCAGCATGTCCTGCCCAGCTCTGTACCCAGGAACACTGAGACACCCAGCAAAGGCAGCTCCTCTCCTGCATCCCAGCAGGATGGAACAAGCACGGGACACTTGCTGGCTGACGTATACCACAGTGTTTCTGTCGCTTCCATGCTCTGCTCCAGCTGGCACCAGACATTCCTCTGCTCCATCCCCAGCTCCTGGAGCACTGAGGCTGCCTGGGCCAGGGGAAAAGCTGGGAAGCAAAAGTGTGCCCAACCTGTCATCCCTTCCTCACCCAAGTCTACACTGGCTGGGACCCTGCACTTACAGAACAGGCACTTGGCCTTCTCCTCCCTGTTCTCCAGGAGATCCACTGGGCTCTTCAGGTCCCATGTGATCTGCAGCTGGTTGTTTTCCTTCCAAAGGTCCCTGCTGTAGCTGTTCAACCTGCCCCAAATGATGCTTTCCTGAATCCCTTGCAGCCTCAGACATCTCTCTGGGTGTCTGCTAACAAGGCTTCCACCTGCTGCTCCATCACCTCCCCTCCAGGGGAGAGCTGAGCTCCGTGAAGATGCCACCCACCTTTCCCACCCAGACCCCAAGGGTGAGCTTCAATCTTCCTCCCCTCCCCACCTCTCTCCCTCCCTCTCTTTCTCCCTTACAGATTTTATTCCCAAAGTTCCCAGCTGGGGGAATTGCCAGACCCTCACCCCTGCAGCACCAAGGTGACCCCTGGGAACTTGGGGCAATGCCAGCACCCAGCACATCAGCTCAGTCAGTCTGCTTTAATCCTCCCTGGGCTTCCACCCAGGCACGGCATGAGGGACAAGCCCAGTCAGTGGCAGGAGGCCACCACGTGTGCCAGCCCAAAGTCCACTCCCCAAAGTCCAGGCTGGTGGAGATGGCAGAGGTGGCATCGCTTGGGACTGTCCTGGAGATGTGTCCTCAGCAGAGATGGAGCACAGCGCTCCTCTGGTCTCTCCACTTGGCAGGGAAAGGCTTTCCTGGGGCAAATCCTGCCTTGGGTGGATTTGTCACATGCAGATTCGAAGAACCCTGTGGGGCTCTGTCCAGGGCAGCTGCATCTCCTGAGTGGGAGAGGGCAGTAAAAGGTCCTTGCCCATGGTGCTCCCAGCTGGATCACAGTCCCTCATCCCTAGGAGGCACGGACACAGACATCAGCGGTCACGGCAGGAGCAGCCCCAGCGTGTTCACGCCTGCAGCGAGGCAGTGGGAGGGCTGTGTTCCAGCCTCCCCCGGTCTGGCAACTCCCAGGGCACTTCTGCTGCCAGGACAAGCAACCTCAGGCAGGGAAAGTCTGAGCCAGCATTAACTGTGTCCATGCTGCCCTGGGGCTGAGCCAGTGTGGGTTGCCTGCCTGCCTGCCTGCATGGCCACAGCCCCAAGGAGACCCACTTCTGAGGGGAGCAAGCAGTGCTGGGCTGAAACGTTCCCCTGGGAGATGCCCCAGCTCTTTCCACACTTTTGCAGCAGGAAAAGGAGCGTTCTCCCTTCCTCATCTGAGGGGCTGGGGAGCAGCATGGACTCAGGGAGATGGAGGGCCCTGTTCCCATATCCCCTACAGCCCAGTGCAGCCCCACATGGGACATCTGTGTCCCCACCCCTTTCCCCACCTGGAAGAGACAGTCTGGTCTCTGTTTCCCGATGTTTTGAGTCTGACAGGGAGAGCTGCTGCCCCATGACAAAAACAAGCTAGGCATGTGGGACACATCTGAACATGGCACATGCAGGGAGACACTCCCCAGCTGCTCTGTCCCCTGTGCCCAGGTCTCACAGCCTTGCTCACCATCAGAGCTCGTCACGGGCCGTGGAGCGGAGGTGGCCAGCGCTGCCCCGTGAGTCCCTCAGTGTCTTCTGTGAGCCAGCCCAGTCAGTCTTCTTGGCATCATCATCCCAGATGGTGGAGGTCTCAGTGTCACTCAGCCAGTTGCTGTCCCCAGCGTAGTGAGTGGGATAAACCAGGAGGGGGTGAGCTGAAAACACCAGCAAGTCCCGTGGGGAGAAGTGCCGCTTGTAATCCTCGCTGGGGAAAGTGGAGCAGACCCGAGAGAAAAAACTGGCTTACAGAAGAGAAAAAGCACTGGGAAAATCCAATCAACCACTTGGGGAAGGCTCCATGCAGGGCAGGGAATAGGGAGGGATGTGGGGAATGAGGCATGGAGCCGGGGAACGCTGGGCAGGGACTGTGGAGGGATTACAGAGAGGACAGGACCTGTGGCTCCCCACCAGCTGGGGCCGGCTCTTGGCACAGAGTGGGTCTCTGGCACAGCATCCAGCTGGCCCTGAGACAGAGCTGTCTGGTGCTGTTATGCCTGCAAGCAGGGGGCTTCCAGCTGCTGCTGGTGCATGTCCAGAGCCCTAATCTGTTCCTCCGTCCACCTCCAGCCTGCCTTTTACATGCCCGATCCATGTTTTTCTCCATCCTGCTCATTGGGTTTCCCAATCCCTTCTCTCCCAGGACACCCACCCACCCACTGGTGCTCATTCACCCCCTAAATTGCTTCCCCCTCTCCAGACAAAGCCTTTCCGTTGACCCCCACCCCAGAGAGGGGCATGAAAGGGCTCCAAATCGGGGCTGAGACCCCCAACCAGGGGCAGGAAACCGCACAGCCCGCCAGCAGTAGGGTACAGGGGGCTGCTCCCTGCCCCTTGCCATGGGGCCAAAACCCTGTGCAGGGCCCACACCAAGCCCCAGCTCCGTTCCCATTCCCCCACCCCATGCTGGCAGAGGGCCATTTTCCAGCAGCCAGAGGCCAGGCAGCGGCGAGCTGAGAATGAGCTCATGCTACAGATGTTTTCCTCCAGCATGAGTAACGCCTGCAAGGGGGGAACTGGGTAAGGTAGTGACAGCAGAGAAAAAACACATTGTCCCACACTGGCATGGCCAGGCCAGCATCCTCCTGCACAATCTGCTCCTTACTTGGGGTGCTTGTCATACATGATGGGCAGATACTCATCCACAGGCAGCATTTTGGAGAGGGGTTTGGTGGCCAGCAGCTTCTGTGCCCCGTGGTGGGAGATGGCGTAGGCCAGAGTCCAGTACGAGTACCCGGCCACCACCAGGTTCCGCACACCTTCCACAGGCGCCTCATCCTCGTCGTTCACCTGCTTCCTCCCCAGGTAGCTGTGGGGTGGCCAGGGAGCCATGAGAGCCAGCCTTGGGGCCCCCCACCCCACATCCCCCTGGCCCCAGCACCTACATGAGGTCCCAGTCCTGCTGTGCCCGCTCCAGCTCATCCATCAGCCGCTGCAGCCGTGCTGGGAAAGCAGCCTCGAAGCGCACGTCATCCTCGAACACCACCGACCTCTCCAACCCCCGGGACACGATCTGGGAGAGGGGACAGAGGTGCCAGCCCATCCCAGCACTGCTCTGGGCCATACTGGGGCCACTGACCCTGCAGGACACCCCTTCTCCCCAGGTCCTGCAGACATCCGTGATGCTCACAGGGTCCCTGCCCACTGCTGGTGGCCCTTAGGGACCCCATGGCCGCTGTGGCCCCATACCTCCTTCCAGATATTGTAGTGGCTGAGGAAGCAGCCGACCTCGCCCTTGGTGAGCGTGCGGCCGGAGAAGGGATCGTAGTACCCGGGTAGCAAGTCCACGCCCAGCACCTTGATGTCACTGCTGTTGAGGGTGCTGCAAGGCAAGGGGCTGCATCACCGAGATGTCCCACCAGACACTCCCTGTCCCCTCCCCACAGTGACACCAGGGGACTGGCTGAGTGGTCTCCCCATGGTCACCTGCCATCCACAGCATCCACCACCCGTGGAATGATCTCCAGCTCCTGCAGGGATGCCAGCATTCGCTGCCGCCGGTCTGGCCTCCGCACCAGGTTGATTAAGAAGATCTGGGAAGAGGAGAGCCCCAACAATGGGATATGTTGTCATGGGGGACACACAGGCTACTGCAGGATGGGGACAGAGGCTCAGCCTTTGTCATGGATAGATGCAGTCAGAGAGATGGACACAACCAGAGGGATGGACAGGGGAACATGAGCAGCTCCACTGACCACTTACTTCATCAAAGCCCATTTTTGTGAGCGGCCTGGGCAGGAGAGAAATGTGCCTGGAGCGCTGCATGGGGGGACCATCCACTGTGGAGAGAGGAGACAGTGGAGCCCAGATTCCCCTGGCTGGGAGCTGGGGCTGACAGCCCTGTCAGGACCTGGAGGCCTCCAGGACCTCTCCACCCATGGGCACTCACCCATGGCCTCCAGCGTGAGATGCACAAAGTTGGCATGATCATCCTCCAGCGTCTGGTGGGCCTTCACAGGAACATTGATGTAACCAAAGTGATGCTGGTTGCACACGTGGACCTCCACACCTGCCAGATGAGACAGGTGAGCAGCACAACCCCCCCAGCCCCTGCACCCCCAAAACCCCACCACCCTCACCAGCCTCCTGGCAGGAGTAGGCAAAGACAATGATGTCATCGAAGGCCCAGGTGTAGTTGGGGTGGGGTGGGTAGAAAGCCAGGTGCAAGGTGTCCTCCTTGCGCAGGTCGATCAGGAAGGTGGCGTAGACCATGGGCACGCGGAAGCAGCCCCGGCGCTGCCGGTTCTTGGTGGGGAAGTAGTCGGGTGTGCGGCGATAG